ATATACCTACTTCAAGCACTTTTCCCATCGGGGTAGGCAGAGATTTTAAAATTGAATTATTTTATTACATTAAATATACCATTTTCAGAAAATTACTTAAAAAATAGTGTTGTCAGTGTTGTGTGCTAGATAGCAGTTTAAATTTAGTTCATATTGGTTGTACTTTTTTAACTTTAACTGGTAATGTTTATAGGTAGCAAAATGATGAAAGAGTAAATAGAGAAAAGACAAGAGGATCTACAAAGAAGGATAATAGCGCAAAGAGAAAAGAATCGTCAAATAAAAGAGAACCCGGAGGAGGACGCTATCAAAAAAGCCAGAATGAAGGAAGCCTACTTAAAGCGCAAAAGTGAAAAAAAAAGTTAAGAGTATTAATGAAATGTCTCCAAAGGAGCAAATAATCCAAAGACAAAAATGTAGGCAAAACTCACAACGTTACCACGGCAAAAGAAGAGAAACAGATCGTCTTTTGCAGGCCACTGCACATGCACGCCAACGCGCGATTGCATCGCTACACTTGTGATTTAAAAGCGATTGCATTGATGCAGACGCGCGTTTGTATGGATGCAGACGCGCGTTTGTATCGATGCAGACGCGCGTTTGTATGGATGCAGACGCGCGTTTGTATCGATGCAGACCCGCGTTTGTATCGCTGCTAAAAGTCGTCGTGTGTTCACTCTTAGATTTAAGATTAGAATAGTAGTACAAAATATATTAAAAACAAGTTAACAATTAATAATATTGCATAAAACCGACAAAACGAAAGACTGATTATTAATTATTAATAAATAAAAATGAATACAATTACTATGAAGAAATCAAGAATGAAGGAAAGAAAATACGATCATTTTACTACCTAATTTACATGAAGTTACTTCAATGTTTGTGTCTTAAATATTTTATTCATGTGTTTGTCATCTCATTACGGTATAAGAGAAAAACCATTCACGTTACCGTTATTTCATTCATGTGACCAAAAATTTAGTTTTTTGTTGCATATATAATTTGAATAAATGTCTGATTTCAAAACCATTAACTTTATTTCTTCTTTATGCGTATAATATCTTAAAGTTTTAAGAAAAAAGATTTTTCAAAAATCATTCGAAAAGTGTCATTTTTATTCCGAAAGTGAAATCGACCCTATTACTACCGCATTTTCAGTTCCAAAGTCGCATTGCGGTCGTATCGGTATCGTGAGCAGTAAATGACTATTCAAGGCCGTACGGCGGATTGCGTCACGGCCGCTCTCACTCTTCCCGTTATCGCTCACGTAGGTAGGTAGGTACCTGTGGCTAGTACGTATTTATATCGATCAATGTAGCTAATGTACTTTTTGAAGCGAAACTTAAACAAATTATATTTAATAATTATTGTTATATGACTTTGAACTACGCGACGACGCTGTGGTGCAACTTGGGCAAGCCTAGATATATTTATGTCACTGGTCGATTTATTGCTTGCTTTGACAATTTTTTGTAAATAAATTATTGTACAGCCATGAAAGAGCACATTAATATTGGACTTTTTGTTGTATAAAGGTTGGATTTGCCACAATATAGAATTTTAACGCAAACATAGTTAATAAGTATAAAAATAAAATGAAATGTTTTTTAATTTTTGTTTTTTACTTGTAAATTGGCTTTTGCGCTTTACGCTCGTTCTTCCCTAATTTGTATCTACTTCAGTTTTTTTTATGATGCTATCAAGTGAAGGACGAAGAAGTCGTGCGCCTTGTGGTAAGCAACACCCCTGTCCATAGCACTTGTAGTGCCACTCAGAGCTATGAGTCGCAAAACCCGAGACAATTTTTGTAACTTGACAAGTCTGACATTCACCGGCTTCGCGGCAAGACTTACTTAGACGAACTCTTTCACAAGGAGCTCTACTGCTACTAGTAAACTAGTATATCTCTATACTATCACATTGTTTTTACTAATTCACCTTGTTTTGAAATACGGAATGTTACCCAACAAGGTAAAATAAATATAACAATGTTAGCTATCAGAGACTGCTAACTAAAAAAATATTGAGTGCCGGACAAAATCGGTTCGGTTACCAGAGGTATCTATACCTATTATAAAAGTAAAACCAATATTTTGTGATTGTAGTCATCACAATAGCAAAACACGTCTTTCGGCGTGGTGTGTAACCGCTGAATAATAATAAAACCTTTTTCGTTCAACGTGCCTCTGCCCCTACCAGTTTTCGCCGCTTGCACGAGTGTGAAAGAGAACACAATCATTTTACTCTTTTGCACCAATGTCGCCAGCTCGATGTGCTTTCCGCGCCACGCGTTCGCCGGAATATCGCCATTTTGTGTCCAAACGTCATGCAGTGCACATCTCTGAGGACTGTCGCTACCAAAATTTTTTTGTGATCTAAAACATCGTCGGTAACTCAGTCGTGACGTCGTATTTTTTTAGTGCCATGTTCTTATTACGAAGAATTCACCCGTAGCTGAGATAATAGGTAAATAATAGTGATTTGGATACAATTTGTATTAGTCTATGTTGTTATTACGTGATAGTTCTATTTAATTATGAGCTGCTCAAGTCGTCGCGTCCTTTTACTATAGCTGTTCTGTTCGTAATGGACAGACGGATGGCAAGATGTTTTGCATTATTTTATTTTCTTCAGCGATGACGTGCAGACGTGTGGCACGGTCGAATGCCGTTCTGTCAATGCAATACAATCGCGCAGCGGTCTGTGTTGCCAGGTTAATTAAAATTTTACCTTGCTTTTTACGGAGGGTTCTGTATGAATAATATTTCAGGATAAGTTTTAAGGATTTCTATATTATAAATTATAATTTCGATAAGTTAATTTATAAAATGAGTTTTATATTTAAAGAATGAAAATTGAACGCACTAAATAAGCCATTATTAATCAATAACATTTGACTACGCAATGTAATATCAACACCGTTTAAAATATAGTAAGTACTAAGCGTTACATTAATATAACCATTGTGAACGTAAATTGAAAAACACATTTAATAAGTATAGTTTTCGAAAAAGTTGTATAATCTTGTATACTTCATTTTTATTATTGTACAGCGTGATCGTTTCATAAATTAACAACTTTGTTAAACACGTTGTCAAACTTACACAAGTCGGATTGATAATTAGATTAGAGGTAATAAACTTACCATTAGTGCCTTGCAAGTTATTGGTGAAATAAAAAATGGTGATTTAAACTTCACCGCGTCACCCAATAGGTCATCAAGTTAATATTGCATCTTGTTAATAATGATTTGTATTTTTTTAAATCAAGAATTTTATAATAGAAAAATGATACAAGCATGTAGAGACTAAAATATAAATGAGATGTTGTGTAGCCAATTCAAGTAAAACTATTTGAACGTTTATTTTTTATTGATTATGTTTCAGCAAGTTTATGGAGTTCATGGAGTTAGTGGAGTTGTTTGAATAAATCAATTAATAAACATGGCAACATAGTTTTCAAAGTGACATTACGAGTTGTCAGTTTTTGTAATAAAAAAAAAGACTATAGCAGATACCCCGACGCGCTCAGAACCTATGTAGAGTTTATAATAATTTACTAGTAAACAAAACGAACGGCGATAGTATCTAATCATAACATAATCCAAATGTTAGTAACGATTTAGGATAGTGTCAAAGTGTAAAGGTTTCAATATTTATGGATAACAATGCATATCGATGTATTTTTTTTTTGATTCAGTAGTTATCTACTAAAGTTAGGGAAACAAGCAAATGAATAATACAAAGAAACTTAGTTTGCGTTGCATAGGTACAAATTTTCTTTAGTGACGTAAACTATTTAGCACGTATTTGTAAAATAAATTTTACCTGGCTAGTTTACCAAAATATGACTATGTGGAAGAGTTAAAAATAACTACTTATAATATGTATTTTAAAAATAGTTATAAGCCGATATTTCATACAAGTTCAACGAACCATTTTTAAATGGTAAAAATAAATCTCACTCCTTTTTGATTACTTTGTGGTCTTTAGTCGGGTACGTAAATGTCAATATGGCTCCGGTAAACAGCGCTTTAGCAAACTGGTCCCTAAATAACGGAAATACAAGCGCTGTAACAAAGCGTTACATCGGCTGATTTCCTTCCACGTATCTTTGGAGCGCGTTCATTTTAACTCGATCCCTGACCATAATCGTGTTGTTTGTTATTTCTATGACAGGTGGATTATGTTAGGATTCTTTTTATATTGGATAGATATGAACCAAGTGCTTAAAGCGCTTACTTGTTGGTTGTAATAGTCACTTCTTTTATAGGACATTTTATACATTCGCAATTACATATTATTACAATACTTTATCATGATTGCTGTGAAATTATGAAATTGTCCTATGCATAGAGAGTAGCAATAAGTTTTTTTTAACATTTGTTAATGGTTTTTAGACCACTTTAGAAGGAAAAACTAAACCTAGACAGGTACCTACTTACATGTAATGGTTTTATAAGTAAAAAAGGTCACTCTTTTCTTGTTTCTGGCAAGGATAGGTACAGCCACTGCAAAACGGGGAAACTTATTTACGGAAAACATTGGAAAGGAAAAATAATTAGGAAGAAAGTATTAGAGAAGTACGATCAAGGTTATTCAAATAGAAATAGGTACATTGACAAACAAAAATACAAATATAATAAGGTATACAAGTATTTATAATTTGATACAATTAAAGTTACAAGTTATATATATTTTTTTATAATATCAAGTGACGGGACGAACTAGTGGTAAGCTTCACGCCTGTCCATTACATTCGGATTGCCACTCAGAGCTTTAAATCACAAAGATATGCAGCGAACTGCCACTGCGCCCGTCACTTTGAGACATAAGTTGACAAGTCCCTTGTGCCTGTAATTATTATTATTAATCAGCACCCTTACCCTTCAAAAACCAGAACACAGTAATGCTAACATTACTGCTTGGCGGCAGAAATAGGTAAGGTGGCAGTACTTCCCTGGACGAACTCTTTGACGAGGAGCTCTATCTCTCCTAGACGAACTATAACGAAGCGAAACATATAGATAATAGGATTATTCGATGACAAGATAAGCTGTACAGTAGTAGGAAGAGGGAATTCAATGTAGATGAGGAAATGGAACAAAAAGGTTTGACAGTTTAAAGGACTGTTAAAGCGCTTATTACACTACCTGATTTCGAAGGACTATAAGGCTCTATTTACAGGGTGTCCCAAAAAAAACACGCCAGAGCGACACTGTGGGTAGGTAGCTATATACCTACCAGAAAAAAATATTTTGACCCTAGTAAAAGTCTTTTAGTTTTCGAGATATAGGCCCTTTTTTATTTTTTTGCAAAAACTCTACTCTTTGTTGGGTTTTATGCTATTATTGCCATGGTTAGCTCCAGATGGTTGTTATTTTTCGAGTATTCTGAATAGTTTTTCCATATTATGAAAAAAGTGATTAATTTGGTATACCTCGTACCCTTAAAAGTTAAACATTAACTTTGAATAGCTAGTGTGAAAAAAAATTGTATGAAACTTAATTTATAAACGATTTTAAAAACTGCTCCACTTAATGCAGAATCAGGAATTGTACAATACTATTGAAATTTTTGACAAGAACTTAGTCATTTAATTTTTTTTCGACATCAACACCCTACTAGCTGAATTGGTTTCTAAACAAAAATTGTGTTAAATTATTGAGCTTTATGACTAACTACTCCGTCGCTAGGCCCCAGGTAGTAAAAAATGAGCGAGAGGTATGACCCTTATTTGTTATCTCTCTTACGTCGGTATCGGTCGCCAGGTGGGATCAGGTCGGGTTGGGCCCGTAGTACCCGTTAGTACATACCTTTGTGTTTTGTGCTACGTACGCGTTTTTCGTTTTATCGCTGCTTCCGTTTCTACACTTTCGACGACTTGGCATCACTTTGGACTTTGATTTGATAACGAACGGAAAAGTTTTTTTAGTAATCATATCAACAACTTGGCATTACTTTGGACCCTGATTTGCTTACTATTTGGACCGTGTTGTTTGTGTGTGATCGACGGCTGCGCCTCCGGATACTGCCTTTATACAGTTAAAATGGCAGATCAACAGAATATCGTTGGAGCTAACCCCGAATTCACTCATAGTGATTACGCTGACATGTATCTAATTTACGACGAAACTAGACGTGTTTCTGCTCGCGGCATCGTATCGTTAAATGCAAGATTAGCAGCAAGATTGTATGCGGTAAGATTTCCTAACCGTAGGCCACCGACCCATGAGACCATAATAAGAGTTGATGCTGCATACAGAGAGGGTAGGAACCCTGGCCATCGTGGTGGAGGCAGACCTCGTACCGTCGCAGACGAAATAGTTTTGCAGGAAGTGTCAAGAGATCCGTCCACTTCAGTTCGCCTGATAGAAAGACAGACTGGCATTTCAAAGTCTACGGCACAGCGAATTTTAAAAAGGCACCGATACCACACATACCATATTCAGAGAGTTCAAACTTTACTGCCGAGCGATTACGCTAAACGCGTACAGTTTTGTCAACAAATGCTTCAAAAGCACAGTGAAGACCCCAACTTTTTTAATACGATTTTGTGGAGTGATGACTCAGCATGTCGCAGAGATGGCTATGTAAACCTCCATAATATCCATAGCTGCCAGTTAGAGAACCCGTACGAGAGAAGAGAAGATCGGTCCCAACACCAGTTTAAAATTAATTTATGGACCGGAATTTTCAATGGGGAAATATTTGGTCCAGTTGAACTGCCTCCGACTCTAAAATCTCTCGAAGATGTGCCAATAGCATTACTACGAAGAATGTGGTTTCAAAATGATGGGTGTCCAGCCCACTACGCTCGCGACGTCCGAACGCACCTCGACCAGACGTTCCCACGAAGATGGATTGGCCGATTGGGACCAATTTTGTGGCCACCGAGATCACCTGATCTGAACCCCCTCGACTTCTTCTATTGGGGGTGCTTAAAAGATAAAGTTACTCCAAAGCTATCATTACAGAAACCGAACTACGACGACGAGTCTATGAAGCAGTTCGAGAAATTTCTCAAATGAGTTTGAGGCGTCTGAGAAGCTCATTCGTCAAAAGATGTCGCATGTGCATTAGAGTCAGAGGGAGGCAGTTTGAACACTTGCTATAATATCTAATAAAAATTAAATTATTTAAATTTTATTGTTTTATTTTCCATTAAGTAAAAACTGCGACAAATCAAGCGACACACAAAGGCACTCTACCACGATATTAGTAGCTAAATCCGCATGCTTTTGGGAAGTTTGATTTGTCACAGTTTGTTTGTACCAGTTCAGAGAGAGAAAGAAAAACCTAGTAACTATCTCACTCCTTTATTACAAATACAACGTGGGAAAAAGATTGATGCGCCGTTACCTAGCGCTAAGCAATTAATTAATTTAAAAGTTTAAATTTAATTTTGTTTAGAAACTGATTAGGCTGTTAGGTGGTTATGACGAAAAATAAATTAAATGACTATGTACTTGTGAAATCTCAATAATATTGTACCATTCCTGATTCTGCATTAAGTGGAGCAATTTTTAAGATCATTTGCAAATTCAGTTTCATACATTGTTTTTTCATACTAGCTATTCAAAGTTGCGGTTTAACTTTTTACAAGGGTACCGAGGTATACCATATTAATAACTTTTTTCACATTTTATGACATTTATCAGATAAAATATTAGTTGCAGTACCTGGAAAAACTATTCAGGTTACCTGAAAAATAAAAACAACTACCATCTGGAGCTAACCCTGGCAATAGTAGCAAAAAACTCAACAAAAAAAAACCAAAAAACTGCAAATATCTCGAAAACTAAAAGACTTTTACTAAGGTCAAATTATTTTTTTCTGGTAGGTATATAGCTCACCTACCCACAGTGTCGCTCTGGCGTGTTAATTTTGGGACACCCTTGCGGCGTAGAGAAAGAAAAGATGGACGACGTAATACTGTCACTTAATGTATATTTGCTTCTCTTGTCGCGATACAAGATAAAATTTCGCTATTGGGTTCAGACAATCGGACCGGCAACAAAATCGTAAACGCCTCAGCGCTATTTCCGACTCGAACGCCCGATCCGATTATTGGATCCGACGTGTAGTGAGCAGAGATTTTAACCAAAGTTTTAACCTGGCGCTTTGTTTATGAATAAACTACTTAAATATGTCTAATTAAATGAGATATTAGGGCTATGGTGTGATTTATAGACAGAAAAATAACACGTGTCCGTACAATGTTACATTTGTTACATTTGTTTTGACATTTGATGTACTTCCCTTTGACAATCGTAACATGTGCCGCATGTACTGCGAAATGGACACGGTTGGCATTTAAGATGACGTTACGTATTTTCGATTCCCGTGTTTGACACAGACCAATATAATGCTTTCTCTTTTGGCTTAAGACGGCACGCAATAGTTAAACAAAGACAATAATAACATGTTTATGTTTTCGACGTTGAAATGCATCATATACAATATAACGTCTGATTTATATATGTCAACATAACATGTCCTTTAGTTTCCATAGTCTAAGATGTACGAACATCAATTAGCTCCTTCAAGATAGTTATGAATTAATATGAAACTTGATGAGCGGACGAAACGTCAAAACGGCCATCATAGCTTGCCGGTACTATAATGATGATAGAGACATAATATGTCCACTTGAACCAAACTTAAGTACCTGTCTCATAAATCAGTGCTTCTAATGCAAAAGATACTTTTAATATATTATGTTAAGAGTGCCTCATCAATTTAAGCATTGGTTTAAGAAGTACCTACATAAGTTTAGTGCAAGAGGATATCAGTCTTATAAGGCCTAACAAGAACTCGACTCCATTTTACTACTGTAAACGCGGCTCTAAAGTTTCTCATGTCATCATTTATTAATCTTGAAAACAGATCAAAATGACGGAGCTGGACAAATTCAAAAGGCGCCTTATACGTTCAGTGGCGCGCCTACTCCTACATGAAAAACGGCCCGATGAAGAAGTCTGGGAGCAACTCCAGAAAGAAACCGGTTGTGATTGTAAATTGTTATGGTAAGTATAGGTATAAAATCATACGGGGTGTAACATAATTCATAATTAATTTATTTGTGAAAACACAGGTTTTATAGAAGTTGACATAAAAATGGAAGTTAATTGTTAAGAAACCATTCATTCTTCAGCCGAGTATCGAGCAATCAACAGCCCCTGAGGATGCCTCGTGGAGTGGCGAAACACGTGTCGGGTATATTTGGTGGTGGTGTTTGTGACTGTAGTTGCACTTGTGTTATTTATTTTATTAATTTTATAAGGTTAACTGCATGAAAAAATATTCAACACAAGCGCAACTATTTTGCACGATTTAACCTTCACTGGGTTCGCGAAGTAGCAAATTAATTAACTTCCATTTTTATCAACATGGGCTTCCGCAAAGTAACTCCTGAATCTATTAATTATTAGAAGTTATTGACATGTACAAAATAAGTAGGTATAGTTTCACTGTGTCCGGCCAAACATTAGTCATACCAACATATTGTAGTTTCTATATTTTTCTGTAGTTTTTATTCCTTTTAAATTTGTATTCTTTTTGACGTTATGTTTTTGTTATTCAGTTGTCATAAAAATCGCTACAATTTACGTTCACAGAAATCCTAAAGGTTCAAATTTCTTCCCTTACTCCCATTTCAATCCAAACCACTAGGCAAGCCTCTCACCAACCGTAGGTAGGTATTACAGACATTTAGACATGTATCTAAACTCAACCGCGATCGATCTGCATGAATACCAAACGTGTCACATTTTTTAGCTCCTATGACATCACAATCGAATCAAATCAAATCGAAATCGTTATGTCTTTAAGGTGGCCATTTTATAATTAATCTCATTAACTCATTAATAAGCAGCTTAATTAGTTAAAATTTGCCTTGGTTCGCTGTAATATAATTTGTTTTTCGGAACCTTTATATTTTAAAGTTCCCTTCTCTATTTTAAAGTTTGTATATAGCATTAGTAACTTAATAAATAAATACATATTTTTATGAGAGACGGACGCTTGGCCACAACATCGTCTCTGTATTTTTATGCTTCCAAGTAGAGGTAGAGATTTTTTCATCCTAAATTGTACCCAATTCAATTTAGTTTTCTTTTCTTTTTTCCACATTGTTTCTCAATTTTGCTGTGGTATAAACTTTAACAGTGAAGTGCTAAGTCACATAAAATATTTATTTATTTATTAAGTTACTAATGCTACATACATAAAGTTCTAAATAGAGCCTTCTCTACTTACTTACTACATACTTTAAAATATATAGGTTCCGAAAAACGAATGAAATTACATCGAATTAAGGCTAATTGTTACCTAATTAAGCTGCGTGATTTAATGAAAAAAAAAATGAGTTAATGAAACATAACACAAAAAATATGCCGTCGTAATTAATCATATTTAATTAACAATCAAGAACTTATTCACATCACAATTCAATGAATAAAAACTGTACTTTTGGATTTATTTACTAGATTTCCGAAAAAAAAACTAACTTACCGACATCAGTGGTGGTCGTATAATTAGAAACACTACAAACGGTCCTTGACATTATGTAAGAAACTTCACCGCAATCGTTTTTATTTTGAAATTAAACAATAAATAGGACAACAATAGGTTCAACGATTTATTATTTATTAGAAAAACAATATAAATCCACTCACTACACAAGTGCAGTTTCAATATTACATTACGGACAAACACTTAAATCAGTTTTAAGGTATAAACAGTAATGGACAACTAATTAGAAACAACAACAAAAAAGTGTAAAAAAACAACATTTTTTTAATTATTAGCAATTAGTATTTTTATTTATGAAATAGCTACTATCCACAGCCTACCAATATTTATAATTAATATTTAGTGGCGTATCCCTTATTTTCAATAACAGCTCTGCAACGACGTGACATTGATTCAATCAATGTCATACATTTTTCTAGGGGGATTGAATTCCATGCTTCAACAAATGCTTCATATAATTCGTTTTGACTGGTGTTACGTTTGTTTGAGACTTTCTTCTTAACAATATACCACAGATTTTCTATCGGGTTTAAATCCGGACTATTTGCTGGCCAGTCTAAAACGGATATACGCTGTTCGCTAAATAGCGCCAATAGCGTGAAATGTTTCCTACATTTGACGCTATTGCCCGTGTGTTTAGGATCATTGTCATACTGAAAGATCCAGGTTACAGGCAAATGATAGTCCGAGAAGGGAAACATTGTGTCCTCTAAGATATTTTTGTACTGCCATTGATCCATTGTATCTTCAAACTTCCGAACGGGACCAACTCCACATCCGGAAAAACACCCCCAAACTTTAATGTTTCCGCCACCGTGCTTGACTATGCTCCTTGTGTATTTATAATGAAAACAACTGTTTACAGGACGTCTAACATAGCGCTTTCCATCTGAATTTACCATGTTTATTTTCGTTTCATCTGAAAATAAAACTTTTTTCCAGTCTCGTACCGTCCAATTAACATATTTTTTTGCGAATAATAATCGCTTCTCTCAATGTTGCTTGGTAAGAAGCGGTACCTTTCGAGAGCTTCTTCCAAATAATTTAGTTTCCACTAATCTTCGGCGTATCAGTCTTGATGAGATGTTTCTGGGGTCATCAGGCGTAAAAACTTCATTTTTAATCTGGTTTGAGCCTTTAAATGGGTCTTTTTTAGCAACACGAACGATTAGCTTATCTTCTCTGGGAGAGGTTTTTCTTGGCCGAGCCTTTCTAAGAACATTTTCAACAGTTCAATTGCATTAAAAACTTTCTTTACAGAACAATTTAAATGCTCAGCTATTCTTCTGTACGTCCACTTTTGATCTAAATGTAAATTAACAATTATTTGCCTAGTTGACGCGTCACAACTTTTATTTTTGCCCATTTTGAACAAAATTAAATTCAGATCAAATTTTGAATTGCCGCCAAATTTAATAGAAAACATCAAGAAAGAAATGTTATTCTTCAATTTCAAAAAAAGAACGAGCTATAGATGCTTTTTTCAAATGTTTCTAATTAGACGTCCAAGCGGCCAGGAACAGAAAATATACTCGTACATTGTGTAAGACTCATTTTTTAATTAAAAGTAAGATATTATGTTTTATTTTTTATGCATTTAATGATTTTTTATTTGAGTGGCTATATTATTGCATGATTATTTATTATTGAATTTATATATTTTTCACGAACATTTGTACGTTGAAGTTAAAATTCCTTCAATCATAAGAAGTGTTTCTAATTAAACGACCACCACTGTATGTACTACGTTGTCATACATGATATATTTTCGCATGATAGAATAATTTACCAGGCACCAAAATTTATGAAATGTATGGGACGGTTTTAGATTTATAATAGGTGATTTAAGATAAAAATGGCTAACATTAGTTTTTAGTTAAATATAAACTATGTTGGTAGAGTAGTATTACGTCAGCTAAAGTTTTTAGAACTTTCAGTATTTCATTCGGTTGTTTCCGTATTCTAATATGCACAAAAGTTTCCGGTAGCTTAGTAGACAACGCAGTAATATTCATATTTTAAATAAGCTCATTTTTAATTTACTTTTGCTTTTGTTAAAGCTCTTTATAAAATTTAAAGAAGCCTTCAGTTGTTATGATTAATTATTAGTGATAATGCGTGGACTTTTGTGAATTATTGACTGACTAATTTACTAACAATGTATGGTCTTGGTTCCGGAATAAAGAGAGTTTATTATTATTTTGTATATCTGCCAAAAAGTACCATAGACATAACGAGTATAGTCATCAGCTCATAAGACCCCTGGTGACTAACGCGGGAAGTATTTTTTCCCTATACATACACCATACCTAATTCATGCTTTACTGGCTTTGTGGGTTGATGTTTTTATTTTAACATATTTTAAAGTAAAGCCTTTACGAAATATATTTCGGGTTCTGAAAAATTATCTAAAAATTGTATGGCAAAAAAAAGAGAAGCCAGCGCCATTTAATAATTAACAACGTCTATATTCTTGGACATACAACAAATGTGTAGGTAAATGTCAACATGAAGATACAAGGAGTGGTTAAAACTAGAGATGCCACGAAAATTCGGCCGAATACCGAATAACAAAAATGAAAAAAAAAGCACATATTATTCAAAATGTATCATGTATTTTAATAACAAATTATTGCTTAATACCATTGACTTACAATAAGTCAATGCTTAATACTTAAAATCAATCAATGGCTTACACAGGTTGTGATGAATGAAACAATTTTTTCAGCATTGGTTGGTAACAAACGATTGCGCTTTTCTTCATAAACAATTCCTGCTTCTGAAAATAGCCTCTCACTGTGAACACTACTGCTAGGAGACGATAGATAAATCTTAGCAAATTTTGGCAGGCTTGGCTAGGTACTGCTTTGCGTTTGCTGGCCACCACTTGTAAGGATGTGTCGTCCGATCTAGGCGAACAGTTTTCAAATGAAAATCAATCTCATGTGCAATAGAACTTTCCTCCACATCCTCATCATTTGGCATGTTACCTGTACCGACTTCTTCAAAACAGGTCCAGAATCTGTCATGTATTGATTCTATCGTTGTATCATTTTTCAACAAAGACACCCTACCTTCGTTACCTCCGCACGTAGCCCAATGAGACAGGTAGTAAAAGGTCGCGCGTGAAATGCACAGATCTTACACCGAACATTCGCGGCCGAATATTCGGTATTCGGCCAAATCACTATTCGTGGCATTTCTAGTTAAAACCACCAAATACTAATTAATTACTTTTTCGGAATTTTGATTTCCGGAAACAGTTTTACTGCGTCGTAATATAAAACTACTCACCTAAGAAACTGAAGCTGGATTTATTATTTAATCTTTCACCAAAGTAAACATATTTTAAGAGCTACAAGCAAAATTCGTCGTTCAGCAAAATCGTTTTAACTGACGCGCGACTAGTAGGTATTACTTTTAAATTCAAAAACTTCAGCTTTTTAGGTGAATAGTTTTATCCTACGATGCCGTAAAATAATTAATAAACATTTGGTGATTTTCACTGCTCCATGTAGACATTTATCTGTAACATTTGGAACATCTTATTCCGGTCCTATTACATTTCGGTGCGGTCGTTTTCTAATATTGGCTCCGATTAATACTTGTAATAAGGCATCCTCTGTTGCACGAGTCCGTTCTTAAGAGCGAGCTCTTGATTTAATAAATTGACTATTAAAATGTAATACAGTGTCCGAATTTTTAAATGATAAATGATTCCTGAATTAATTGTCTATTTTTTGACATTGGACGTTATTGACGTTATTTAGATTACGATATTATTTTGACATCTAATTACCATATTATTACCATACTATAAAATTGACCCATGTAACTATAATCGCGTTTAAATTCTGACCAACTTATTAAATCCATGTGTGCACGCCCATGTAATATTATTGAAAAAGGAAACATGTTACACCTGGTTTAGTCTGTCGAAGTGCCTGTGAGTGAATGTATATGTACTTTCAATATTTGTATGCATACTGTTTGCCCGGACACAGTGAAACTATACTTATTTTGTACATGTCAGCTTCTATATCCCATCTCTCTCCCATGGCCTAAAACATTATTATTATAGACACTACAGACATCAACCATATCATACATAAATTGGTGACCCTGTACAACATTTCACGAAACAACAGAAAAATTATGAGCCAATGTACAGTCAAGAGCACTTCAAGCTTTAGGGCCCGTGTACACGCTAAGAAATTCGACGTGTGTGCTACAGAAACGATGAGAATGGTCGTGTACATGACAAGAACTTTATCGGATCTAGCCACGAAAACATGTCGTGTCTGTTGCAGACGAGAAAATAATGAGTATGTACACGATACGAATGCTTTCGGACAGACATGTGTACGGTAAAGTGTGTCAGTGCATTACGAGTCTTCCAGGTAACTGTCAGTTTACTTCTATATCTATGGTTTACTACTGACTATGGGAAGAAATATGTTGTTGTGTATGTTGACTAATACAACACCACATAACCGTTCGTTTACTGACAATGCACCTCACCCCGCCCCATACAATAGCGGCAGAGCGCATCGTGTCGGGGGTAAACAAGATTTTTTCTTGTCCGGCGCGTGTACACAGTCCGTGTGTACAAACGATACGAATTCTTGCATAGACCCGGCGACTTTTCTTAGCGTGGACACGCGCCCTGATACTTTGTACATTGGACCGTTGTTGTCGTAAGCGGCATATATCTCATTTGCATTGCATTTGAGTCTTAAGTGTCAAGCTTGACGTGCTCTTGACCCTGTACCCACAGCATTTTTTACTTTACAGGAACCGGATGCGAGCGTTAACGATAAAGAAGCTAAATCGTCTACTATCGGCGAACGATCAATCAAAACAACTGGCGGCCGTGGCACGGTTGTCCTTAACCGATTGGCTGTTCTTCGATCTCGTGCTGGTGCATGAAAACATCGATCTTTTGGGGCAGGTGAGAAATTCCAAATTCAAATTAACCTTTTGTAAACCTTGACCTGACAACAAATGAACGTCGGGTTCGCGCGTTAGGGGTAGACACACATATCCGGGCCGTGCCCGGGACGTGGACGGGCCGTGCTCCGTCAGGGGCTCAAAAATATATCGTTGCGTACATTTTGTATGAACTCGTTCACACATGTCCGTGTTTGGGCCGGCGGCGCCGGGACGGGCCTGCAGTTCATACAAACTAGCACGCCCCGTCCACATCCCGGGCACGGCCCTGGATGTGTGTGGATAGTCGTTAAAAGTGTCCTAACCAAAGAAGAAACAAATTCCAAAAAGAGGAATAATCGCGCGTCTGTCGTCCTTTGACCGACCCACAGAGCGCTTGATAAATCGTACCATACTTATACTCTAAAAAAACCGACCTCAAAAGTTCGTGGAATTACATCTATTTGCGGAGTGTTTTGAAATCGGTTACCGGAAAGTGTACGAAGCCGGATTCATCCCCTTAAAGGTGGAATATTTTCTTTAAATTTAAATGGGACCAATACTGAGGTACCCTCTTTCAAACAAAAAAGAATCATCAAAATCGGTTCGCAAATGCCGAGTTGTCGCGTAACATACGTACAAAAAAAACCAGTCGAATTAAGAACGTCTTCCTTTTTTTGAAGCCGGTTCAAAGTCATCGTGACGTGTCGTGACAGTCTCATAAAATAAGTTATTCACAGAGGGTTCCTTTTTCAAATTTCGTATTTTTTTTAAGTTTCTTTTACAAGAGGCCAGTTTCAGAAACTTTAGTATGCCCCACGTACATCCCCATTCCTATCACTGGTGATCTTGCTTGCGGCTGAGTTCGTCTTAAAACGTCTACTTCTAGAATATGGTACCTTTAATATCGTGTAGGCACCCGAATTCATAATAAAGATAAAATTTCAGGATGACCCAGCACCGCTGAGCGAATTGTTGGAACTGGTGCAAAAATATTCCATTGAAAGTCTACCGCCTGGGGACAAGCTCGTTGACGCATGGACCAAACTTACGGTCAACTACAACACCAAGTAAGTATAACACTAACAGTGGTTACACACGGTGACTTTGATGCAAACGCGCGTTCGTGAATCGTGCGATTGTGCTAAAGTCGCTGTGTGTAATCGCTCTAGCTGCTGTTTTTTTTTGTTATTATATTGACAATATTTCACGTGTTGCCATAATAAAAATTATTTTTACGTGCATAACTCCCTTTGGAGCCTACGCACAACTACAGGCTACCGTAAACGCGCTTATACGCGTCGCGGACGCGCTGTAGTGAATCTATTCAAACGCGTGCAAACAAGAAGCTTACATACTCCACTAGGGTTTACACTTAGAATTTCATGTAGTGCCTTTATTTTAAAAATTAACTGATATTAACAAACAAAACTAAAATTGAAACTATCTCTACATACGCGCGACTACAGCTCGTCAGCGCAGATGACAGGCGTTTATAGTTAAGAGTTTATTTCAAAGTCAAAAGTGTTGTGCTGCTCAATCATTGACGTATGGTATGTTTATTTGATGTCATCATCATCTTCAACCCATTTATAAGTCCCACTGATGGGCACGGGTTTACTCTCAGACGAGGGCTTATGGCCATAGTTCGCCACACTGACCCAATGCAGGTCCCCAACCTGCACGTCCCCAAACTTCACACGTCTTCCGAGGGTTGTGAACTTTCTTCGACGTGCAGGTTTGTCTTCACCGAAAAGCTTATAGGGAATTTCAAATTAATTATATTTCGCTCATAAATTCCCAGAAATTCAGAGACGAGCCCAGATTCGAATCACCGACCTGTGCTTGTGCTGGGTTACCCCGGCTTTTTTCTTTACTTTAATAATTTGAATTTCAGTGACCGTCAATGCTCTCCAATGTTGCTCCAAAAACGATGGTATCAATTGAAGGAAGTGACGCGCAACAACTTCTACCACTTGTGGTACAGCTATCGTGGCAACCACAAATTGTGGGAGACAGCAAGTCAAAATGCGCCTTCGGTTCTGCAGATGGCCGTTGCAAAAAAGTGAGTTTACATACAATTATTATTATTATTATCATATTGTCAAAGATAAAGGTAAATTTATTTCAATATTACTGAATCTAATACAAATAAACAAATATAAATAAATTAAAATAAGCATCTCAGCGAATCTAATAGGGTACATTCTATTTTATTCATGGCGTAATAATGCAAAATAGAATTTAATTTAAAGTAAAGGAATGTACCAAGGAAGCAAAAGAATCTATGCGAGTGTGCTATGCGGAGTTGTGTATGAGATGAAAAGGTTGTCGAGCTGTCTGTGTTTGGTTAAAGTAACGGAATCAAATGGATTCCGTTTTGTTTTTTGAGAGAGTTTTGCTTTTTGTTTATTGAAATTTGGTAATTGAGTGCTTTTTCAACTAGTAATTGAGAGTTATTATTCCTGGGGGCCTATCAAAAAATAATCTTATTTTAATGTAAGTAAGCTTATTATAATATTACTTATATTAGTACCATTACAAACCTTTCAACCAAGTAATGTATTATTGCTAAAGTGATTGAAAGAACGAACGATTTCCGAAGATTGTCTATTTCTTACTAAACATAGGAAAGAAGCAACGCTACATGAACTGTATAATGCCATCTCTTTCTTTTTTGATGTTCCGAATTCGTTCCGTCTTTTTTATACTAACAAGTGACGGTACGAACGAATCGTAAGCTACACGCCTGTCCATAACAGTTGTAGTGCCACTCAGAGCTTTAAATCGCAAAGATCTGAGGGGCACTGCCACTACGTCCGTCACCCTGATACATAAGTTGACAAGTCCGATGTGCTTGTAATTTCACCACCACCGTCTTATTATAGTATAATATTAAAGTACTTAATATAATTTACATTCAGAGAATTTTAACTGCCAAAAAAAGGAAAATATGTAGTAATAAAATCTCAATTTATTAAAATTACGTTGTCCTCCATTATTTTTCCGCATTTTATTTTTTCGCATTTTAAAGAAAAATAAATAAAACAAACTAAGCCTTGATTGTCACGTTGTGAAATTACTCCACTAGCTTGTTATAAATATTAATGACAAAGATCGAACACTTAGAAAAATTAATTCGATCGGGCTGGATTCGAACCAGCACCATCATCCGTGTCAGATGCTCTGCCAATTAAGCCACGGAACGACCCAGCGGATCTTACGCTTTACCTTATATTTCTGTGCTTCTTGCAAGTCTTTGTGTTTGGTTAGGTATACGACTTTTTTGCCGTAGCGCCATCTGTGAAAAATTTATTTCTTCATTCAAAGAGATACCTTTACAACTACCTTCTCTGACTAGAGATGTCGCTATAATTGTAATTTTTAAGTTTATTGATTTTCACGATGTTTTACTATCATGATTAATTTTTTTTGCGGTTTAAAGCTCTGATTGGCACTGCAACTATTATTATAAAAAAAAATTCACCGAAGAATCTGAGGTTGGATTTAAAAGTAATTTTATTGACGCCATGTAAAAATGCAATAAACCTTTCACTAAAATAAACTACAAGCAATAGGTTGTTTTAACTAATGCGGATATGATGCAGTAAAACTTAAAAAAAAGTCTACTCGTATCAGTGTTCGAAATACTATAAGGACAATTTTATGACTTTCCGCATGTTCCAGATTCCCGCAAGTGATTACGAAGCCATTCCTGGACTGGCAACAGATGATAGCCAAAGGCCTGGTCGTCATGCCTCACCAATTCGTGAGTTGAATTTATTTACTTACTATCGATAAACAAGCTTATCCGACAAAAAAAAATATTACTGCCACCTTACACTACTACGCCAATTACTACTGTGGTAAAAATATTATATTTAATTCTGTGTTGTGCTATGAAATCTATCTTTTATACGTTAATCTTCATCCAGCATAAATTTAATTATGTTTATTGATTTCAGCAGGATAAACTTAAAAAGCCGGCGATAACTTCTGAAGGTGAGTTTAGGTGTGTGATTTCTCCTAAATGCGGCTGGCAACATTTCAACGTGTAAATCTACCTTGTTCAATAATGCTGCTTTTTTACCAAAACTGATGTCCATTGATTAGATAACCATTACATGTTACTCAGAGTTAACCAACGTAAACCCATCCGTACTTAAAGTATGAACAGTAAATTCAAAAACAAAATTTTCATTTTGTTTAACTTTCAGATCAACAGGAATTAATCGTGATAGAACCAGAGATCGAAACGATCGACTTACGACTTGATTCCGACTCCGACGAGGCCACACAAGATGTACTAAAAATTAGCGATTCTGCAACAAGTATACCCCAAAATAAGAACACTGTAACAAGCATACATAATCTTGATAAAGAAGTCAAAATCAAACAGGAGTCGCTGGAGTTTCAAGATGGACTATCCAATGTCCAAATCTTAGCTACCACTCACATACCAGAAACTGTATTGGATGAAAGTAGTAATTCAAAAGATAGACTTAGTCCTTTGACTATAGAGGCAGAAAAAGTGTTAAGAAAACAAATTTTAGCCAGTCAAATGTCGAAATTTATGGAAACTACACAAACATTAATGGAGCCCATTGGTTGTGAGAAAGTATCTAATATAGACAAAGAAGTAGGTGTCGACTATTTACCTGATCAGTTTATCACGGAAAATGTTAATAAATGTATTCAAAGTCAACAAGAAACTCTTAAACAAAATGAAACTGTAAGAGTAGAGTTGATAACAGAAAGTGCAAATGACGGAGATGAATTTGTAGAAGATGAGGAGGCTAACGAACTTATACAAGCTAAAGCTGAAGAGTACTGTAAGAAAATTGAAATAAAAGTTAACAAAAATGACAAAACAAATGTAGAAACAGATGATTTCATAAAAGCCAAAATGTATGCTGATGAGTACGTCGAGAAAATGCAAGAAGTACTGAATGATAGTGAAGATGATTTAATAAAGGTGAAAGCAGACGACTTTATTAAAAACAAAGAAGTCAAATCAAAATCAGTTTTAAACCCTCCAGCATTAGATTGTAACGAAGCATTACACGACGAAGATTTTGTAGATGACATAATAAAACAAAAAGCAGATGATTTTGTAAGAAAAACAGATATAAAGAAGCTAGTAACTAATGTGGTCAAGGAGTTCGAGTTGCCAGTTGATATGGATATTATTGACGACGGGATAGAGTTCATTGACGACGGAATAGAGTATATTGAAGATGATGATAATAATAATACAGGGGATAATAAAGAGGGTAAGTTTTAAATAACAATATATACACACATCAAAAGTGTCTAGGGATCAAGTGAATATTTTTGAAATAAAAATTATTTAAGCAATATTTACCAAATCCAGTCTTCCAGGACGACTTCTTACTTTAATGCTTATGTTTTATTTAACCGCTTACCCCTATATTTAATTAAAATAAACTAAAATTGATGTTTTTGCAAATTGTGGGAAAAAACTCAAATTAACGGCGTCAATTAAATGACAAAAAAATGGCGAAAATGATGATTTTGCTCATTTTTATTGTAAAGATAAGAAAATTAATAATCTGTATTTCCACCATTAACACGAATCACACAATTACAGCGATTTGGCATGCTTAAGATGAGTTCATCAAAATCACTTTGAGGAATGGCCGCCCATGTGTTTTGTAACAAGTCAAAATATTGTTGTAGAGTATGTACGGTATGCATACTCGGCACAGCTCTTCTTTGAAGCATATCCCATGCGTGCTCAATTGGATTGAGGTCTGGCGATTGAGCAGGCCACGGCAGAACGTTGATACGAGCTTCGGCAAGAATGCGTGTTACGACTCTAGCCGTGTGTGGACGTGCGTTGTCATGCATTAGTTGAAATGAATCACCCAACTGGCCTCGCAAAGGGATGATAACATCTGAAACAATCCTCTCTGCGTAAACTTGAGCATTGAGGTTACCCCTGATCCAAATGAGATCGGTTCTTCCGCCGATCCAAATACCGGCCCATATCATTATTGTTCCCCCACCATATGGATGAACTTCCTGACAATATCTCAAACGTTCATGACGTCCAGACGTTCTCCAAACTCGAGTACGTCTTGTATCCGGTCTCATACCGAAGCGGGATTCATCCGAAAAGAACACATAGCGCCAGTCTTCTTCCTCCCAGTTTCTGTGTTCGCGAGCCCATCGTAAACGGGTCCTGCGATTGCAGAGTGCAATAGGTGGAACTCTGAGCGGCCTTCGGGATCGCAGACCCACTTCACGTAAACGATTTCGGATTGTTTGATCGCTTATTAGCAAGCCTGAGGAGCTGTGGAGCCTCGTAACCAACATCATGGCGGTCATGGTACGATTCCGTCGAGCAGTATTTTGGATATACCGGTCCTGTCTGCGAGTCGTGATGCGAGATCGTCCTCCATGTCGCTCGGCCACGCTGCCCGTCATGCGATAGCGCGTCCAGAGGCGACTTATGACGCTCTGTGTAGTGTTAAGAGTGAAAGCCACAGCACGTTGCCTGGAACCAGCTTCCAAAATTCCGACGGCTCGCATCATCACTTCTCGGGTTAAATGATGTCATCTCTCCATAATAATGTAAATTGCTTCGGTTCCGATGCAGATATTGTAATGATTTTGTCAAAACGCTATAACTCATTTTTATACAAAACCACATTGACAATCGATTTTCTTCTTATTATCGAATTTTAAACAATATTCCTTATTTAAATGTTAAAACTCACTAAAAAGTATCAATAGCGATACAAAAAAGTTAATATAATTAACCCTAATTACAGCAATACTCTTAAACGTACTTGATCCCTAGACACTTTTGATGTGTGTATTATAAAGTCTATCTTTGAAGTAATGAATTTCATTGTCACACGCATAAGCTAAGAAATCTTTTGCCCGCCAATGGATGAACATATACAAAAAGTGGCCATTGGCTCGTATCTAAAGTTTGTAAATGCTAATAAATTGCTGAAATCTTGGGATATTATAAATATAATTTAGTATTATTTAATTCATAACTGAAATTAGTCATAATACAATCATGAATTGTAATTGTAATATGTAATGTCGTTATTTCAGAATCACACAAGGAAAAAATAAAACCGATCACTGATATTAAAATTGAATCCGAAACACTTTCAAGCGCAGGTAAAATTGATCTGAAATTGCTTATGGTCCCAGTTGTCTACACCACTAAACTAGACACGATATCTGTACTTGCAAACAAACCGATCGATTCCGTAGAAGGCAAGGATATAATCGAAGAAGTGTTGAAACAAAGCAAACCTGTTAGCAAGAAATCTATGAAAGTTGAGCAAATAGAAAAATTACATACTCGTGATATTGTCCAAGAGGAAGTAGATATCCCAGAAGAGGACGTAAACGTCTTCGAAAACAATTCTCAATCGGATGAAAGTGATGAAGAAGTACCTATAAGCGAAGATCAAAAGGTAAAACCGACAAGTTACTTGCTGCAAAAACCAAGAAGTCGCAGCTACAATCCAATCCAATTATGCAAGAATCCAGATTTCAACACCAGACTAAAACGATTAACTGTAGGTTTCTTTACTTCTACCCGTAACTGTCGTTTGTTAAAAGCTTGTATGCCTCTGACTGTTGATTTGCACAAGGCTTTTGAAAGTAAATTGATTGAAGGTACATTATATTTGAAATCTAATGACGCTGCTAATGTCCCAGTGCAAATTGAGACAAAAGAGGATGATCATAGTGAACAAGCCACTGTACTTCCATCCGCAATGCCTATTCAATGTCTAATGGATGCTACTGTACCTTTTTCAAAACTACAGAACAACGATACAATGAATACAGTAGATCTAACAAGTAAATGTGGTGATGATGTGTTGGTAAGAAATAAAGTTATAAATTTGCGTGATCTTTCCGAAATAAGACTAATAAACCAACGCTTGTTAACAGCTGAAGTGTCTCCTATACCTCTTGATTCTGAAGCGTACACTTCCACAGTACCTATATCGCAAGCACCCTTTGAAATGCACGACGCTCAACAAGTTAACAACAAATGCCAAAATGAGTACGATAACGCTGTACCAAGCAGTTCTTTGCAAACAGAATCCTTTATAACCCATTCAAACAACGAACTGAGTACATCCAATGATAATAATGCTGACAACAATCTGCTTGTTGAAAGCCATAGCAGAAATGTGAGAGGAACGGGTCACTTTAATCGTGGCCGAGGCCGAGGTGGCCGAGGCCGTGGCAGAGGCGGAAAGCCCGGTCCCAAATCGTTGACGAGGTACCCAACTAAAGTATCCTTCAATTTTCACCGTCCACCAAATACAGTTTCTGTGCCATGGAACAAGCCGAGAAAAGTGATATCAAGTAATGAATCGGATGACTTTCTTATAACAATTGATACTCTAAACAAAATGATAAACAAAATGAACGGCAGCGATCTCTATATAGATCCCAGCAAAAAGAATAAAAAACCAAATTGGGTTCTAGAAGATAAAGAAGACGAAACCGTCGTCAAGAATAAAGAAGAGGAAAAACAAGATCTACACAAAGAAGAACCCCCTTGCGCTTCTAAAAATGAAAACACAGTTCAAAAGGATCTTACGCCTCCGCGTGAGGTACAAATTCTGAAAAAAACAGTAGTAGAGAAGAAGCCGCGTGAAAAGCGACCTCCTCGTACCAACCAAAAAGTGTATTACTGCTGTTGGTGCAAAGAAAAGCTTTACAAATTGGAGACGAAGTCCCGTGTTCGGCAAAAGCATATGTGTTCTGTACGACAGCAACACTCACGAGTACTAACTTGTGAGTGTTGCTGTCGTTTTGAACTGGCCGAAGCTTTGAGTGCTATAGGTAAACGAATGAACAAAGTATTAGTTCCGTCGAATGACGATGCTATCGTTTTGTCCGATGAAGAAGATTTTTCGGCTAAAAGTATTTCTGCACCTACTCCGGTAATTAGAGTGGTGACTGTTGAAAGTATGGCGAAAAGAAAGTTTACATCAATATCTTCACAAGTTGGTAATACCTTGTCCGGTAAACAAGGCGAGGTTAATGCAGCAGTTGATAGTATATTAAGTAACATAACCTCACCGACACTTAGTAATACTAACCAATGTAGTAGTCGCGGATTACATCTAACTGTTGGCGCTGTTACGGCAGGTGATGGAGAATCGATCTGTAGTGTACCTGTAGTGTCTCGTGTAGAAAGTACACCGGAGTTGTTCGCCCAGGACTCGGTCTCGCATATACAAGAAACCACTGCGCTATCTCAGTCACCACCCGTGAGCCCAGTGTCGGCAAAAAAGAAAGTTACTATATGGCCTCTTAACAAAAAGCAACCCATTGTACTTAAACGCCCATTGCTTGCAATTAAACCCAAAGATTGCAATACGCTACCGAAGTGTTATACTGTGGTCTCTAACTCGAAATCCTTACAACAAATGCAAGTAAAGAATGATGAAAGAGTATTGCTTCTAAGCAGTAAGAAAATTGTTGGTAGGAAAAAGAAATATCCTATATTTTTGGGAAAGAATAAAATTCTTTTGTCGACTGTAAGGATGCCTCGCGAAAATGATACTGCTAAGTTTGAACTACCACTACCTTTGCCACCGCAAGAAACACGGACAGAAGTAGTTCCAACTTTGTCTATGCCGCAAGGGGTGCAGTTGGTACTTATGCCCAGTGGCGAAGTAACTTACACGATAGAACCAGGTGTAACACTTACCGAGGAAGAATTGTTAGTCATTCCAAACGTTATATCAATAGTGCAGCAACAACTAGCTCATCAAATACAACCCGTTCCATCGATGCCGACAGCTCAAGAAGTTCAATCTACGGAGTTATTAGTTGATAACGCAAATTTAGTTCAAAACATGGCGCCAGAGAATCAAACGATTCTTGAGAACAATCAACTAAGTTCACAAGATTGCATAGTATCAAATCTAGAAAGTGCAGTCAATGACTCTGAGTCTCAGACTATAGTGGCCGCATTAACTACAGTCGTTGAGAATAATTCAAATGAACAAACGATGAATTTGGATGATTCATCTGTAAGTCATAAAGAAATTGACACCGCGTCAATTTTAAATGACAGTACAGGACAAGCTGTGGACGCTAATGAACAAGAAAATATAAGTTCGAATATTTCAAAAGGATCAGATACTAGCATCAAAGATATTCCATTGGAAAGTGAAAAGAGAGATGAATCTGTTTCAAGTGTATCAAATAGGAATCTCTTGTCAGAATTGATGGAAATGTCTGGAATATCTGCTGCAGACACCTTGCCCGCACCTCAAAACTCAGTTGCAGTTGGTGGTGAAGGTACTGTAGAAATGATACCTGAAACGATTGCAGAACATGCCCCATCAGAAGTAGTGGATCTCACTGCAGTCCGAACAACGTCTAATTTAATCAATATGCCGGAACTAACTCCAATATCATCTCTTAGCGAACTAAAATACGCATGCGATTATAATGCGCAGTTTTTCAAGTTAGATTTAGATACAGGAATCGTCGTGCCAATCAATGTAGCTATCAAGAAAAATTTAAAAACAAAAGGAATTCCTATCACTAAATCAATAATAGATTTAACCGATGACGGAGATGATGACACTGCGATAACCGTATCTAATATAAAAAATAATGATTTAAGTTATCAAGTTAGCTCTGATGTAATGAATAAAATCCCTGATGTTTCATTTGGAGTAAAGCCTCTAAAATTATTTAAAGCTATTCGGAAAATCAAAGCCAGTGATCTTACAGTACAACTGAAAGCAACACCTAGTACTATAGCTTCAAGTGCACGAAAGAGGAAGCAATGTTTCGACAGATCTGACCCGAGCATAAATTTGGTAGATTCCGAGGCACATATGGAGGAAGAACATCTTTTAAACAGTACAAATGACGAGGATACTTCCAGTCCAAAAAAAACAAGAAAAGCTATACCCCAATCAGTTACATCGAAGACTGACAATTTTGACGATTCATCGGACGATGAACCATTAGCAGTCATATCGAAAAAGATGAAAGCGGCTGATATATGTAACAAACCAACTGAAGAAAGTGCCACTGGTAAAAATCCTGAAAAAGAATCTGGAAATCTTAATGATAAAACAGAAAAAGCTATTATAAAAAATCCCGTACAAAAAACTACGGAAAGTATACCTAGTCTATCAAGTGAAGCCACTGACAGTCAAGATGAAATAGTAATAGAAGATGGTGACGTGACAATGGATACAGAGGAAGATACATTCTTAGAAGAAATTGAAGATAACGATTCGCAAGAGGACTGTATACTGGGCGTTTGATTTTAGAAAAGCATTATTAATGAGTACGAGTACAAGAACGCGCTCATGTTTATTGCGTAGAAATTTATAGGCATAACGAATGACTGGCCAGCAGTAAAATGTTAATAGTTGTAGTGCTGTATTATTTTATGGAAAGATTTTGGGTATTGGTAGATTTTGGTTTTTTGTGGTGACGGGTCGAACAAGTCGTTTGTCTGGTGGTAAGTGACACGACTGTCCCTAACAGTTGCAGTGCCACTCAGTTTTAAATCACAAAGACCTGAGGGGCAATGCCATTGAGCCCGATACCCTGAGACAGTTCACAAGTCCCATGTGCCTGTAATTTCACTAGCACCCTTACCCTTCAAAACCGGAACGCAGTAATGCTCACATTACTGTTTGGCGGCAGGAATAGGCAAGGTGGCAGTACTTCTCTGGATAAACTCTTTCACAAGAAGCTCTACTGCTACTTAATTAAACCTAAGTAAATAATCATTTCCTTGATAGGTAGGTATTATGTATGTTAAGTCAAACAAAAAAGAAAACCGACAAGGAACTTAGATGTTCTTAGCCACGGAATATACATAATGTATTGTTTTTATTTGGTGAACATACCAAGTTTATTTTAAATCAGTGTTCAAAATAAGAACCAGTGTTTAGTTTTATTACTCAGTTGTTCTGTGATATTAATTTAATCTATTTGTAAAATAAGTAAAATTGTTGGTACTATGTTGCTAACATTCCTTGTCCAAGTTTTTCTTGCCCGGGTAGGCAAATCTCTTTCAACATTAGAATTACTTTAAAATCCAACTTCGACTTCCTAGGTCAGTAGTTTGTCCTACGATGCAGTAAAACCATTTCCGGAAATGTATCTATAAATGTGGAACACCTTTTTCCGACCTATGATGATAGTATACAAACAAGTTACATTAAATAACATACAGTGGTAGAATTTTAAGAAGAAATTTAATTATTTTCAGAATTACTAAAAAATTCAAGTGGCGATAGTACTCGTCAATTGCACAATTTTAATTACGAGGACAATTCACTATATCAAAAATTATAAAAACTGCCATACGTTGACTATGTGTGAATGATATGATAATTTTGTATAAAACCGTAGTTTTTTCGCTCTCATTGTAAGTGCCAACATGAGTAATATGCTTAGTAAACATTTAATTGAGTATATAATTATATGCTTGTATAATATCTATACTATTGTGTATATATTTGCATCTGTATAAATTCACTAAATAATATTTCATAACAATAAATTCGCATAATTTTCCGTAGAAATTTTTATGCGCATTTATAATTATGCTCAAAATTGTTTTTCCTAATAATATTATGTTATTCATTAGGAATTCAGAATAATTTATTGTTATAAAAAGTTGTTTTTTGTACTGAGTGTTCGATTTCATAGTATTTAAGTCATCACAATACTTTTATGATATTAGTATGTATATAGTATTATTTACATTTAATGTATCCTAAATTCGTCTGTATGCAGGTGTGGTTTCAATAAATATGTCGATCATTATAAAAGTGGTGTAAGTCGAAATATTTGAAAAAACATATTTTTTGCCTAAAAATATTACATTTAGTCATAACTATCTTCTTCTTTCATTATAAAAGAGAAGCAACTCCAATAATTGCACTAACGTCCCATAAATGGCATTACTAGTTTACTCAGAGAACTAAACAAAGTGGCGACCAGCCATCCTGATATCAGAATGGCTGGTCAATTATATTTTTAAATTTCTCAGAATATATCAAAAGGTAGCAATTATTTAGAAAAGGTAGCAATTCTTGAATATACACACTCAGTGCCAGACGCCACAAGCGACCAGCCATCCTGACGGTCACCTAGGGTGAGACCAGGCAACTCGTGTGGTGGTTTGGCACATTATTATTAGGTCGATTGCATAAATATACAATCCCACTGGACCCAATAATGGAACTAAGCAGGGGATCCAACAGTCACAAAGGCAATCGTATACATATATTTGTACATTTTATTAGAGAGCTTTAGCAATGTAATTGCTAGGTATTTTTAGTTTGTGTTTTAAAAGTATAGGTGTAGCTATAGCAATGTGTGAAATTGTCATCACAGATTTCAGCTTTACTTAAGAGGGTAATATGTTACATAAACATAAACAATTTGTCAGTAAATTTTTTCTTATTCAATTAACGAAATAAAAACTAAAGTGTTAGGTACCTGTATACAGACGTCTATGAAGAAAGTTTCTCATTAGTTGTATTTTTACTACAAGGTTTATTGAAATAATAAATGTTAATTTTTCAAACTTTGAGTTCTTTTATTTATTATATTTTTGTCATAAACTGTACATAACAATACACATATTACATTGCATATTTTACATAATGAAAACAATACTAATTTCTATTCGAAAATAATATATAAAATAAAATGTCAATAAATGCGTATTGGACGAATTAAGGTTTGGATACACTAGGGGGCAAAATATCCCCCAACACGACGCGCAATAGTGAATCTACGTGTCTCTGCAATATTTTGCGACGTATTTACGTGACGTCCCGCTCCGAGAGCGAAAACACGTGCTGCGCGTCAATGCCGCTTTCATTGTTGCAGAGTGTAGTCGTGTGCGCAAAGTGACCCACAACATGTCTGTAGTGTGGGGAAAAGAAACCACTATTACTGATACAACTTTACCAGAATGATAATTTGTTATGGGACACGGCGAATTGTGATTATCGCAATAAAGTATCGATATTGCCAAGGCGCTTATATTACTTTGGAAAGAAGTAGAAGCCTAAGTGCATAACACTACGTTCACAGTTTTTTCGTGCAAAGAACAAAATCAAATCTAAACGTACTGGTTGCAGACGAGATGATGTAACATCCAGTGCATGGTTTGCGTATGACGCAGTTGTCATACGTAAGTTATCCACCACCATCTCTTTAGCTTACGGGCGACATTTCTATAAACACTGGCAAGTGTATCCAAGGCCAGCAGCTTGATTTTGATTGCCTCTCCCGATCGGAAACAGCGTCTCTTCAGAGCCGAGGCGCATAATTGCGATTCACAACTGGCCGATCGGAAACTTTTAACATTTCAAATCGGAACAATAGTTGATTTAACTCACAAATTAGAAAGATATAGTAAGAAATTCATCTTCTCGCTCGGAAACCCATCTGATTTCGAGACAACCCGATCGGTTCGATTCCGTCCCCGGGACATTGTACTCGTCATTATTGAATAAGAGTAATGCCATACGATGCGTTGCGTCGGCGTTGTGACGCCTGAGCGGTGGCGCTGCTTTGTACTACATATAAATTGGAACTGCATGATACAAGACGAAGCAGGGAGGGGTGTTGCGGTCCGTGTAAAGGCGATTTTCCACCAGCGAGGTGACACGAGAATTGTTATCTCGCCGGTCCATTTCCACCAAAAACTACCATTAATAGCTCGCGCGGGCTCGCTTGTGCATGACAATTTAGTGCCGTTCAGCTCGTTTGGCGGTAAACAAGCTATCGTATCGTAATTATTATTAAATATGTTAACGGAAGAAGAATTAGTATCACGCGGTTTTGCCAAACAAACAATCCTCCGAAAAAGCGCCTTAAGAAGCGTTACGTTGCAGTGCGTTGAAATCAAAGCATTGTGACGAGGCAACAACGAACCGGCAGCGTCCGTGTGGCATCGCTCTATGGCTGAGTTTCTAAATACAAGATATAATATTTAGTTGAGAATGTCGTATTTACCTGGGTATGTTAAAGAAGTCGCACAAACTGTAAAAGAGATTAAGTTTAAACGGAATGACCACACGCAACCTACACTTAGGCTCAATTTATATTGCGGCGAATGCTCCAGAATGTTCGTGCATTCAGAGGAACATTCTGGCTCGTATCTAGTTTGTACATTACACAATTGACCATAAAGTTCATTATGCTACGTACAATAACTTTACAGAAATTCGCTTCCATTCCGTTCCGCACCAGTATAAATTGAGCCTTACAAATCTTTTAACGAGTCCTTATTAAAGCTCAGACAAAAAAATCTCTAACCATTTATGCAAACAAATTCGACAATTAAACAACATAATAAATTAAATTAAAAACTGCTAAGTTATCTTATAACAACTTTAAAAGTTTGACTGGCAGCTTTTTCAATTTGTTTATGAACCTCATTGACTTCACGCTGCGTCAGCGTTCTCTCAAGATGTCTGTAAATGATGGTGTAGCAGAGACTATGTTTCTTTGACTTTGGGTGGACAAATTTGTCTTTTAGTTTCACCTGAAATAGACACAAAGAGGTCAGTAATGTTTTTTTGTTAAAAGTAATTAATTCTTTAAATTTCGGAGTGTAGGGTTGTCACCTTAGAATAATAACGCATAGAATGATAGTTTCATATCAAACGAACTGTCACAAGTGAGGCAAAAATCAAATTCATGTAGGCTAGTTTTAGTATTAGGTTAATTTTCGGTTTTAGTGAATATTTATATAAAAATACAAGTTGAAACGCGTTACTTCCTTGTGGAATGTGATGTTAGTATCTATTTTATGTTTGTCTGACGTATTTTTACACTCATTTACCGCACATTTCGTCGTTTTTAGCTAAAATTCTGGAGCTGTTCGCGGTGCAAGTTGACCTTGAGCACTGAAGGCCCGCCCGCTCGTGTAGGCCCATTGGGCGCGCTTCAATTTGCCTCACTTAGCGTGTGCGGGCTAGGTTTCTATGCGTTATTATTCTAAGGTTGTCACATTATTATTTTAGTTGTACCTACAGGTTGTAAACATAATTTGAAAAAAATAAATGTTGCAAATGTTATGGACGGGCTTGCAGCTTACCACCAGGCACACAATTTGTTCGTTCCGTCATTTATTATTATAAAAAAATGCCTTTGTCAATAAATGTAGTAGTTAAATATTGGTATTTTTATACTTTGGTAGCATTTTTATATTTTGATAGCATTAAGGATTAGTATCTCGTTTATGGTTATGAAATAGAAAATGCTGAACAATTTTCCGTTTGAGGCACTCTTGTTCAAACAACAATAAACATGTCTAAGGTCTATCCCTTAACCGAGTCGGTTCCTGAGTGACAATTTACGTTATAGTTATATCGCGCTGGACACGGGATAATTTCAAGAAGATTTTTTTACAATAACAAGACAATATCCAATAACAAGTTGATTGAAAAAAGTGCCAAATGGCTTGTCTATTCATTTCAATTATCAATGAAACATAACAACAATTGACTAATTTGACACTTTTTTCAATTAACTTGCTATTTAATATCGTCAGAAAAATCTTGCTGAAATTATCGTGTGCAGTTCGACATAAGTGTTACGTAATCTGTCACTCCTCTCGCACCCCGCAGCTACCTCAGGAACCGACTCATTTAAGCGGTAAGCCTGTAGACATGTTTATTGTTGTTTGATGTATTGAGTATTTGATGTTATTTTTTCAACACCGAGAGAACGCTTCATTCTATAATCGAAGTGGCACGTGCGCCCAGCTCTGTGCCACGCGAAATTATGCGAATGTATTCCATACACGGCACGCGGCGAATGTGCACACAGACAAGCCATGCTGCTATGACTGTATGAAGTTACACTACCTGTCTTATTATAGTATGGCAATAGTTTATATTCAAAAGTTACTTAAATTTAGTTTCAATTGGTAGAATACTGACCTGCTCAATAATATCTCCACCAATATCTCTGACTAGATCATAGAAATCGTTACTAGTAAATGAATCAATAGTAAGATTCGGTGGCAACCAGAACGATATATCATTCACACACTGCGGGTACACAGAAACAGGCTTATATGTTATTGTATCATAATTTGTTTTATTCTGAAACTGACTTATAAACCCAGAATCCGAACTCCACATCAGTCTTATGTCTGGGATTTTGTACAATGCCATAGCAAGACGTTCCAATCCTAATCCAAACGCATATGCAATTGAATTGTTTGGTCCAGCATTTGCTAAAATTTCATTACGGGTTATTCCACAGCCTAGGACCTCCAACCAATTGTCCTCGTAGAAGATTTCTAATTCCCAAGACGGGTGAGTGAAAGGGAAGTACGCTTCAACCCATCTGTGTTGTATATCATCACCAAATAAAGTCTGGACGAGACCAATAAGGTGCTGTTTAAGTTGTGTCTCCATTAATTTTGTAGCTTCCAATGTGTGACAGCTTTGTTTCATTGGGTCTGCGATGGAATTGGTGTATCGTTGGGGGTGGATTGGGTCAAATGTTGGCTCAAATATTTCTAGTTCTGAATTTTCTCCAAATAAGTCTTTTTTACGTTGTGTTCTTACTGCATCAACCTGAAACAATTAAAAAAATATGAAAGTTAAAGAAACTTTGATGTTGAAGTTTTTACCAATAAAAATGATGAGAAAGTATTTCTAATTAATAATAATCATAGTTTTTTTAATCTACTTTATCCTTGTTGACTGATTGCAGGTGGGTTGTAGTCTCATAATGGAACGGGTTTTACTCCCAATGAAGAGCAGTCCTATGGATGGTGTAATCAGGTATTTTGCTGAGCATCATGGTCAAAGATGTCACGCCATTGTATACTCTCAGGTGAAAACAAAAGAAAAAAGGTCTTGTGGAGGGTTTCTTTAAAGCCTAGCAATTTCTGTCTAAGGAGAAGATAATAGGAAATAACACCTGTTGTGGAAAGAACAATATTATTGTTACCAAGGTGGCTTCTTTCAGGGTTTTGTGCACCAACCAACGAATCTACTGTTATTACCATTAACTACAGTTCGGAACCAAGGCCAACAGCATTAAAGAGCTGAAGGATATTCCATGCTTCAACAGTTTTTAGGTCCTCTGGCTGTGGCCAAGGGGTCTATTCCCATTCTCTGCCTGAAACAATTACAAGTAATACTCCGGATCAAAGGACAATGCCAACAATTCATTTGTGTCATGTGTCTTTTGATTTGGTTAAGTTTTATTTATTTAACAGTAATTGTTTTGGACGGAGGATGGGGGGAGAAGACCCTCTGTACCTTCCCAGTATAGAATTTCATATGCCCAGCAAGGGGACGCATTGGTTACGGGGGATTTTAATTAGACTTGTGACAGAATCTACACTCTCTTCTTCTTCTTCTTTATTTATTAGTGGCTTGTTCTGTGTCTTTCACTATTCCGCCAATGTCACGTAGGTAGCCTCTCCATGGGAGGAGTGGATTTATTTTCAATATAATTTTGACCCTTAC